CCTCGAGCGCTTTCGATTCGCAAGCGCGCCGCCGTCGCCGCCGACGCCGCGTGACGCCCACCTCGACGCCTCGATCGAAAAATCCCCCTCACCGAGGCGAATCCACATTCATCACGTCGATGACGCCATCGTCTCGACCCGTTGTGATCGAAATCACGCGCATTCGATCGACTCCCGCGCGCCTCCGCGTCTCGCGTCTCCGCGCCCGCGCTCTCCACCGCGTCCGCACTCTCCCGCGCGCACGGTGCGTCCGACGTCGCGCATCGCTCGACGCTCGATCGCGTCGACGTCTCGCGGTCGCGTCGACCCCGCGCGCACCGCGAGACGTCGTTCTTCCGCGACGCGCTCGGGCGTCGAACGATCGTGCGCGACGATCGCGAGCGTGACCCTAATCGACCCTCACGCGATCTCAACGACTGACGCGCCACCGTTCGCGCGCGCAGGGTTCGATGATTTACGAGACCACCTCGGCGCTGTTCCGATCGTTCCTCAAGTCCTCGCGCAACGACGATAAGCGCGCGCACGAGGGTAGACAACGCGCCGGACCGGGCGAAAAGGCGTCGGCGAACAAGCCGGTGATGGATGATTAATTCCACGACGACGCGTGCGATGGGTGAGGCGAGCGTGGTGGCGACGGAACCGCGATTGCGGCATGATGTTTTTGTGGCGGACGTCCGCGGTGTGTCGCTGGCGTTTGAGGTGTATCACCTGCGCGAGCAGTTGTTCGCGTACGTCGGCGGCGTCGACGGACGCTTCGCGGATTGCGCGTTCGCAGCCAAGGCTCGAACGACCGGAGGGAGCGGTGGCGTCGCGGCGACGACGTTGTTGGGAACGGAGGTCTCGGCGCGGGCGTCGACGGACTGCGCGAGACGATTAGCTTTGAGATCGGGGAAATCGATCGTCGTGAGCGTCAACCTTCCGGCGGGCGCCGAGGCGCTCCAAGACGAGGCGGAGAAGATTCTGATTCGACACTTGCGCGAGACGCACGCGATCGAGGGCGACGTACGCGAGCTCGAGCGCGCGCTCGGAGCGATGTGATGTGATGAATTATTCAAAAGTAATCAGACTCGACGTCTCTCTGTTGTTACACCCGCGCCGCCGCGCGTTTACAATTCCTCAATCAACTTTGCCCGCTTGCTCGACCCCGACCTCGACCTCGCGGCCGGTTTCGTCCCGCTCTCCGGCACGACGAGCGTCGCCGCCTCCACCGCCTCGCCCGCGTCCTCGCCCGCGTCTTCGCCCGCGTCTTCGCCCGCCGCCCGCGCCGCCGCCCGCACCGCCGCCGCGTCTCGCAAATCCACCACCCCCAGTCCCAGATCCATCTCGATCCTCGGCCCGTCCGCGTCGTCGTCGTCGATCTCGATCGACCGCACGCGGGGGTCGTCCGCCGCTAACGCCGCGTTCGCCGCGCGCATGGTCGGTAAGAAGGTTCGAAGCGCGTCCAACAGCGGACTCTCTTCGGGACGCGCGATCGCGGGCGCGGACGCGGGCGCGCGCTCGACCGCGCGCTCGATCGCGAACGGGTGCGCGCGCCCCGGGTCCACGTCGAGGCGTTCACGCGGAATCGTCCCGTCGTCGGACGCCATGCGAGGGCGTCACGATGTGCGGCGTCGAGCGCTAGGCCCGGCGAAGCGCGACGAAGAGCGCCGGCGCGCGTCTTCGGTTCACCACGCGACGCTCGGTGACGACCCAGTCCCTGGACGAGAGCGCGGCGAGGCACTCGCGCACGCCCTCGCACTCGTCCGCACCGCCGTCGTGCCCGACGTACGCGACGACGGTGACGCGACCGCCGACGCGCGTCAGCCGAAAAGCGCTCTCGAGCGCCGCCGTCGTCGTCTCGCGCCGCGTTCGCGCCCGCCCCGCGCGCGTCGCCGCGTCGTCACCCGGAAGATACCCTAAATTAAACGCCACGCACGCCACGGCGCCCGCGAGACCGCTCGATTCCAGCGAAGCCAGGCCCTCGGCGTGACATCGAAGCTCGACGCGGACGCGTCCCGCGTCCACGCCGGACGCCTCGAACGCGTCACGCGCGCTCGCGATCGCCGCCGCCTCGACGTCGAACCCGTACACGACGTCCGCGCCGAGGTCGAGCAGGGTCAACGCGTCGCGTCCACGGCCGAGGGTGGCGTCGACGCACGTCCCGGGTCCCGCGCGCATGGTCTCCGCCCACGCCTCGCGCGCCCACTCGAGC